ATATATATATATATATATATATATATATATATATATATATATATATATATATATATATATATATATATATGTATATATATATATATATACATATATATCTCTATATCTATCTCTATATATATATATATATATATATATATATATATATATATAATAGGTGAGCGACCTTTGACATGCTAGCTTGTCGCTATATATTTGCGCAGTTTCAAACGTACCAATACCTGATTCTTTTGTTTAGAACCACAAAGAGAAGTGGTTTCAATATATGGTGATACTTTTGCCACCCCGCCATCCAGACCTCAATATTTTATCGAAGTTTATCGCTGTGTTAAAGTTGAGCTGGGCAAATGCTTCAGAGGCGCTGACCAGTATCCCGTGCCAAACAAAACTGAAGAAATTGAGACAGTGGTTCCTGATACAACAAACAAGGATCGGGATTCAAGCGATAAAAAGAAGTTTTATAAATATGTGGTTTATAATCACACGATTTGTACATGTGGGAATTTAACATATAGGAACAGGAAACTGTATAAAAACATAACTAATAACAAAGGTTAGTTCAGATTACAGTGAGTAAATAGCCTACCAACCTAAAATGAACGTGTTTTGTCTTTTCTTGTTTTTATGAAATTGTTTCTATAGTTTCATTGTTATAGTCAACCAATCATAAAACCTGTTCATATAGGTTGATGACAATTTTATAATCAGGGGAAAACGAGAGCTCTCCCCTCATCACTGAATTAAACCTGCCAGACAAAATGTCAAGATTAGCTCATTGATACTTGATGGGCAACATTCGTCTGACTTTATGTGCTTGAACACACTGTATAGCCCACTAGCTTCCCCCAAGGCAAATTTGTTTGCGCGAACTCCGCGAAGCGAACTTTTGCTTTGTCGGCATCGTTTTCTCCTGACACGTGATAAGCAATGCTGAGAAGGGAACTAAAGTAGAAACCTCGTTCTCAGGTTTTTCGCTCTTGTGCAAAAAAACCCTGGTCGAAACTTATGTGACCCATAGAAATTGATAGACATTGATTGGGTTTTAATCCAAGGGTTAGGGTTGGGGTTAACCCTAGGTTTAGCGTTTTGGGCTATAGGGTTGGAGTTAACCTTTGGGTTAGAGTTTCTCTAGGTGTAAGACTAACGTTTAGGGTTAACCCTAGGGCAACAGTTGAGTTAACCCTAGGGTTAGGGTTTATTGTTAGGGTTAGGGTCCGTTGTCTCAAGAGCGACAGTGCAGGTCGTAGCGCATTTTTATGAAAAATTTCGCTGAAAAGCCTTTTAAGGGATGTGAAATAAAAATACAATACAAATACAATACAATTGGAGGTTTCACATTTAATTAAACACTAAAAAAATAGACATTGAATGTCCATTCTATTGAATCTGAAGTATTGATAACCCGCAGCAGCATGCATGACACAAGTGAAAAGAAGCTGGATTTTAAACTCGATTATTTTGGAAATACAAGCCAATAGCAATGCCAATGAAAGGTCTAATGTGCCTGCTGTAAATTACTGTAACTCATGAAATACAAAATAATTTACTTTAAAGTACAATACTAGTGTCTAGTGCACGCACGGAGGATTCTTGGCGTTCGTATATAATAACAGATATAGCTGTACTTTGATAATTTATAATCAATCTTGATCCTTGAGTTTCAGCATTCAGCACTGGCTGCAGTCAATGCAGAGAATTTTAAAGCCATAACGTGTTTTAATCCTGTGCTTTCACAGTCGGGATTTAGGGGCTGTTTACATGAGCCCGGTTTGCCGGGCTGGTCCGCTTAAACTTGGCGCCCGGCTTCATAGTAATTTCCAACACAAAACAATTTTACTTTACATGACAACTGGGCCAGCCCGCCTTAGCTGGGATCCCACTTGACTCAAACGGGGCGCCCGGTCAGCCGGACTGGAATTTTTCCATGTAAAGTATCCAGCCCGGGTAACCGGGCTAGAACAAAAACTTCATTTAAAACAAAAATAAAAGACAGAAATAATCTTGCTGACAAAGTCGTTTTAATCTATTAAATTTGCCAATAAAGCACAAACTCGACTTCCTTGACAGACGTTACACTGTTACTGTCGATGCAATGGAAGTGTTGATAAAATATTGCATGAATTCATTTCCTCAAGTTGATCAATTCCTACGAATTCAAATTTCTTTTTACTTCCTGTGCGTTTCCTATTGGTCAATCGGTTCTGAAACGAAATCTAATTGGCTCATCTAAGAGTAACAGGAAGTCGATCAATTTCCTATCAAATGAATTGATCAACTTGAGGAAATGAATTCATGCAATATTTTATCAACACTTCCATTGCATCGACAGTAACTCGTAAACAAGTTTTCCCGCCAATTTTCGTCAGCATACATTTCAGCCCGGCAAACGTCTCATCCCGGCCAGCCGGGCTCATGTAAACAGCCCCTTAATAGCATTGTTTATACATGGTTGGTGATGCTTGGGAAATAAAATAATATAAAATAAATCCTTTGCTTTCAATATCGCACATGATAACACTTCAATAGATCCTTCCAAGATTAGGGACGCCATCTTAAATATATTGTTTTCACCATTGTGTTTTCACCATTGTGTTTTCACCATTATGGCGGCGTTTACCTTGGATAAGTCTATTGTAAATTAAACAATCTTATCGTTCGTTTGAATGATCAGTCGGTTTAGAAGAGATGTATATTTTTATGGCGAAGCGTGTTCAACTTCGCAATCCAGGCGCAAGTGAAGTCTTTTCCTTGTAAATGAAATATGATCCAGCTTTTCGTCTGAAATGAAAGGCAACACTTATTATTGATAGCATTTAGTATAGCAGTTCCTTTCACGATTTCTTGTTTGCAAATTACACTTTTATCACCTGAAACCATAACACATGAATTACAATTTTCCAAATGCAATAAACAGACTCCTCTACTACCCCTCCATAAGGCATATTTCAATTTACCCAGGCACCCAACGAAATCCGTGGGCTACGCGACCAGCTCCTCCACCAGAGGAAATTTAAAAGCCTGCTATAGTAGCTTCGTGCGTACAAAATAGCGTGAGGGAAATAGGTTTTATGTAGGTTGTGCTTTGTTATCTTGTACTTTGAGAGATTTTGTCTGGCATTCTTACCACGCATTTTCCTGTCTCGCAAAAAAACGTAGCCACTCTACCTTGGCTTCAACCCATGGGGAAAACTTGAGACGCATTTGTCACTTCAACTCAGTGATATTTCGCGGCTGCTTCCTGCGTAATTCAGGTCTCCACTGCAAGAAAATGTGAATTTTAAACTGTAATTTTTACCGTTAATTTGTGTGAACTTTTTTTGCAGTGTCAGAAGTTTATTTCAATGTGAGCTATTCGCAAAATCCACTCAATCTGTTACGCCTGTGTGATGTTTGCAACAGTTCTCAACCAAGATACAATCTCACGCATGGGCATGAGTACGTTTTGCCACAATTTAAATATCTGGCATACCAACAATGCTTACCTGGCTGCGTAGTGGTTAAAAAATACACATCAAATGAGAAGATTACCCTCACAACTAATAGGGAGAAGATTGTCAAACTTAAAAATGATATTTCATGCAGGGCTTATGATGGAAGAAACGCTTTACAACGAATTGAAAAACACAGAATATCTACAAGGATCGTCAGAAGATCCAGCTAAACTCCCTTAATCAGGGTAAGAAATTAAGGGTCTGATTTATACTAGAGTCAAACGATCTGTCTGGACGAACTTGGAAAAAGTCATAATTTGTCTGAAAAATTAACTCGCGACAAACACACTGATCGTCCGTCAAGATAAACTAACTGTACTAAATGATCTGCGAAGTTCATCAACTCAGATAATCTTCCCTGCATAGTTCAGTCTTGATGAATGATTCCCTTGTTTGCTAATTTTATACACAGATAAATTATCAGACAAACTATAATATTTTCTATGCCCAGTTCGTTCAGACATATCATCTAAAAATATTAAAATAAGCTGAACTTTCAGGACAATTGATAAATCTAAACATTTAAAATACGTTTCTGGGTTATGTGGGCAGGGGCCAGAGCAGCTTATTGATAAGAGAAGGGGTCATATCAGTCAGATGATGTATTAGAGAAGAGACTAAATAGAGTTGGGGAGAGAAACGTTTTAGAGAGGAGACGTAACAGAGAGGGGCGTATTAGAGAGGAATGAGTGACGGAGGATAGGAATATAAAGAATTGACGAATTAACAGGAATTATTGTGTTTCTTTTTAGAGCCGAATTGTGAGATTCTAGTTTACATTGGTTCAGGAAAAATTATTGTCGCAGTTTTTCTACTTTTGTTGGTACTGTAATATGTTAATTATGGACTTTACCCTTTGCCGCCTGTAAAAAATGATAACTTGGATAACGGTTTATCAAAATTGCAAACAAAGAAATATAAATGAGATTACTATGTAAGAACATATGTAAGTAGGAAGTAAACACTGGTCCAATAGTCGACTATAGATATTGCTTCTATAGGTCTCAAAAGTGAAGCATAATTATATATGCGAAAATCATTTTCGGAGACCACATGTACAGAGCGATACAAATTAGTATAGAAATTTATGGCAACAATGTGAACCATCGTAAAAGTTGACAAATTTGAATACTTGACTGCAAATAACATTAATAATTCATAAACCTTGTGGCAAATCATGTCAGCCATATTATGTCTCGTGTAGTGACTTTATATCTGATAAAAATCATCTTCATTAGTATTCTTTATATAATTGTTCATCCTAATTAGTATGATTATATAATTGTTCATCCTAATTAGCATTCATTTGTAGTCGTGTTTTATCAGATATAAAACGCTTGGCTGCGTCTCGCGTTTTATATCTGATAAAACATGCACTCCTACTTGTGTTTTAAATAGTATACTTATTATATATTTGGGCTTAACTTTGTTATATAACTGGGGATCCTGGTCCACAAACATTTTTGGTTTCTATAGTAGACCACTATAAAGTCCTACTTTGTTTACTGTATTTTTTTCGATTTCCTTATTCTTTAATTGCATAATAAATTTTCATGATTAAACAATACATTTGTTTACATCGTCCGATGCGTTTCACAGTCGCAGTATCGTTTGTGTATAATCTCCAAGCTAACGGCGCAGGACGACGGTGTATATACTAATCCCGCTTGGCTACACACCCGGGAAAGAAAAGCATTTAGTGAAGTCTAAAGTCCTTCATCAATAATCGCGGGCGCGTGGCCATGTTTCATCGTGCAATGGGTAGACGTCCTCATTGATCTTAAAAATATGATTGTTTGACAGGAGTGAGATAAACAAGTTTTCAAAAACATATATTTGGAAAATCGTTTCATACAATAAGTTTTGAAGAAATAAGAAGAATTTGTTTACTTTTGGAAATCGTGAAATAAAAGGCAAGTTTGCTTTGAATGTCAAATGTTGTTTATAAATTTTGTTCCTCTAAATTCTTGAGTAAAACATGCACTGATTAACTGTGACATTCATTGTTGCATAGTTATAAATACTATAATATCTCAACTATTTTGCCGTTTTGCACAAAAAAATGAAAATTTAAAAATTTAAAATTATTGTACTGCCATGGCAACAGTTGACGTAAATCCGGGCCTGCGTTTTTGGTGTTGGCCGATTAAGCGATTACTAATGCCCCCACCCCCGTAACAATGTGACTGCCAACTCTCATCAACTCTCATCATACATTCCCGTTTGTGTAGTGTAGAAATTAGGAAATTAAGTCAGTTGATATTAACCTGAATGATTATAGTTTCTCACAAAATATACGAGTGTTGTTATATATTATTTAGGATTGTACGATAATACATATCTACCGTGGCCAACAGACTTTAATCAAAATTCAATTTGCCCATAAAACTATTGTGGTTTACTAATTACTATAGCTCTAGATAGGTTGTTCACGCCATTGTTATGGTCTAGATTTGCATATTACAATGTATTAGACGACGGTCATGCATTAATCTGCCCACCGTACGTATCGTCGCCGTCAGAATGAAATTTTCATTTCGCTCAGCTAGCAGGAGACAAGCAAGTAGAAATGAAGTGATTCTCGTTGTTAAGCTACATAGTACACGTTGGGTATTTTGCGTTGGATTGTTTTCTTTTATAGATATCTGAAATGTGTGCCGCCAAATTCACTTATATACGCAAATGTTGTATCTGAATCATTTTCCATTGTGTGTCTTCAAGTACATATCTGTCGACTTTCAGTTTACTCTCGTGGCCTCAGTCAATAAACTATTCCCTCATTGCTAGAAATCGCGGACGTTTCAATCCAGAAACACCCATTACGTCTACGAAATATTAAAACCTGATTTTTGTGTCTGGTAAACGAACCTTCGATCTTATGCAACTAATATATGCATATTATTTAAATTTTACCCTACATTTTCAAGTTCATATAGATCATTAAGCCGTGGTACGGACTAAGTAAAATTAAAGATGGATTATTGTCGTTTCGACATTTACTGCGTTGTTGCCTAGTTTTATATGTCGTAAATAATCATTTTATTTTATTATTGGTTTTAGTTTTCTTTCTTATGTTCTTGATTAGTTCGCTGAATTTTGTTTCCACACTTTTCAATTGGTATAATTCTTAAAAGATATTTTATATAAAAATTGGTAAGTATCTGCATTCCTGATAAAAATTGAGTGAACATGGGAACTGGGACGAGAATGCATGCTGCATTCCAAATGTCCGTGATTTCTATCGATGATTTAATTATATTTTACAAAGGATCACGGTAGTTCGGTAACCACATGTCGTCCAGACAACATGGTCGCCATGAGCGAGCATTTTGAGCGAGCATTTTATGTGGTCAAAAAAGGCGATATATCTCAGTCACGTTTCCCGAATTAAGTATCTTTGGAAATTACCTTGGTTTTGATAAAAAAAAATACGGTAATCGCTGCATTTTCTGTTGCAAAATTTCGATCGTGATCGTGAGGCAAATAAAATATTCCCCTCGGCAGAAATTGCGCCCTCTTCCAGACTTTTGTTTGGGGTGTCACCTCCTCCCCCCCCCCCAGCAGTCGGCACGGCTCTGAATCCAACTCCACATTTTGCTTGAGTATCAAGTCAGACTGGAATCGAGGGATTAGTGTAGAAGGGCTAGAACAGGCAGACAAATCAAGCTACTTAGGAAATTGCTGCAGTCAAATAATTGGCAATCTATATCAAATGAGATGCACGAAGCGCTGCCTTCCAAAACATCATCATACTTACAGTTAAAGATGCTGTAAAGTCTGTTCTGCGCATATTCTTACAAAATTCAAGGAGCCATGCATGGCCAAATTGAAGTTGCAATGGTGTAACTTTGTTGTGTTTGCCAATAAAGATTTATACGTAAAAAGAATTATATATTTTCACAATATTTTATGGGAAACTGTTATGGTACCAGAATAACAATTAAGTTTTTATTTTCAGTATATTTTACCAAATTTAAACAAATAATGTTGAATGTATAAAATGTTAGTGTTCTATTATGTGTAGTCACATCCTAACACTTGAACATGCTGTACAATTGTAAGTTGCAAAGATATCATAAGCAATGTATTATGCAATGCTAACTGTTTTACTTTTTGTCACTTATCAATGGGGGCATGCATAAATACCCTAACATAAGAACAAATTGTTCATATTTTATGAAGATGTCCCACTAACTTATGTGGAAAAACTTGATAATTGAACTTCATGCATGATCCTAAAGCTCTTTATCCCTGGCAATTTCCCTTTCAACATGCACTCTAACCGAGGCTATTTCTCCTTAGTATTTCATCCTCTTTGTTAAATTGATCCTTTCCATTCATGAATGCAGTTATGCATGAGGGATATTTAATATTACCCCACTGGCAAATCACCCTCAATGTCAAATCCTCGATCAGCCATTTTTTAATCGCCCGGTTCTAAAAGTTTAAAAATCCCACAATCACTGGTGATCTTTTTGTGACTCACTCCGCCTGCATGGAGGTTGGAGCAAAACATGCGAACCAATTAGGAGAAATACCCAGCAATCCTTTGGCAGCATTGTTGTGTTTGCAGCTTGAAAATATAGATTATTGGCTTCCACACGAGGATGAAGTTTCAAGATAGATCTCGGTACAATAATTTATAACCCTTGTTTTAAGAAAAGTTGTCTTGAAGCATTCAGGCACGATTTCATCAATAAACTTACCGAATGCCTAAATTGGCAAAATGTTGAGTTGCTGGTGAAACAAATTAACCAACGTAATCCAAATGCAGGAAACATGGTTTGATGATAAGTCAAACCTATGTGCTAATTAAGTCATCTATAAGTATGCCACGGCGTAGTCTAACTAATACCATAATATTAATAGTTCCTGTTCTGCATGGAGATACAATAAACAGTGTCCTTTGCAAAACCATAGTAAATAAGTTGATTGCATGCTGGTGTTAAGTGAGCAAGAAGAGTTAAATGTATTATGATCAGGAAAACCAGTATAAGAGTAAAGAACTTAAATTCATGATCATTTCCTTTAAATCTTTCCATTCGAAATTGTTTCTGCTGCATTTTTGCAATATCATGTCATTCCATTTTTGTTGTATCTTATCATGATTTGCTTGAAGCATCTGGAGCTGTCCTTGAAGATCCTCATCGCTGCATATTTGCTTATTTATTGTATTTTCGTCACTCTCCTGGCTGTCTTGTCCAGGGTCATTGCTGCTCGTAGCTACATCATTAACAATGGAAACATTTCTTCGTCTGCAGGTAGGTTAGTTTGTCTCTGCCAATAGAATTGTTGGAACGTTATTCGTGTATGTTTTTTAACTCCTGCAAAATGAGCTAAACAAACATAATTGAGGGGCCGGGATTAAAAAAACCTTTTTGTTTTCAAGATTTTGCTCCACTGCAGTAGATTAACTGTAACACAATTCGATATTTAAAATTATTCAAGAATTGTTAGAATCAAAACGTGCTATTTCTTTAGCATAAGCCTGAACATCAGAAAATATTGCCATGTTGTATTCCAATGACATGCATGCAGCATGTGAGAACCTAAAAACTAACATTTCTTGGCTGCAGACCAACCAACCTTTAAACCAACCTTTTCACGGCTGCAATATTAACACCTATACTGTAGAAGTTCCGATTAACACTAGCCCGCGTGGAGACCCACCAAGGGAAGAATAGTGGGCCTGCAAGGAAGACCGACTATTTTGTATTTGTTGCTTTCGCTGCACGCGAACGCAGCATTCCGATTGGTTGTTTGCTGTTGGATTATATAATTAGATCAGTGATCAATCACAAAGGCTTTCGAATACTAAAATGGAACAAGAAGAGACTGTTTATTGTTTACTTGAAGGAAGACATGTTTTTGCCGTAATGCCAACTGGGATTGCTTGTCATGAAGTGTTAGAATAGCAACTTTACCACTGGGGTAAACAATAGTAACTTTTACTTGAGTTTCATTGATTTCAAACAGATGTGATACGTTTATATGTTCCTCAAGAAAATTATCTTTTGGTTGATGTTGACTCTGTTCTTGCATTGAAGAAAACAGCGCTTTTCGTGATAAAGACTTAGAGGTAGTTGCATTCCAATTCGAAACACTTCCAATGCGATTTGCAGGGCTTCTCTGACAGGGCGAAACAGAACACGGTAATTGCCGTTTGAAACGATCTGGACTCTAAACACTCTTCTCTTTTG